GGATACCCTGCAAAATGTCAACCAGAGGTAAATTAATGTGAACCTGTTTAAGGAAAGAGAGAAACTTATCGAAGCATTCATCCTCATTCTGCTTTTTGAGCCTTTGTGGAAATTGAGGTGGTAATTTCTTTTGAGGAACGGGTACCTCAACATTGGAGTTTTTTACTACCTCTTTCACCTTCTTTTCTTTGTTACTTACCTCAGTGTCTCTCTTCTTTGGAGCTAGTTCCTCTAATTGTAGCCCACTTCTAGTACTTACCGCATGCAATTGCTTAGGATTGGGCTCAGTATCACCGGGCAGCCCACCTTGGGGGCGCAAGTTCAGAGAATTAGCCACTTGCGCAACTTGTTTCTCTAAACTCATTTGGGACATATGGATGTTTCTAATGTTCTCATCCTGCTTATCTATTCTAGCATTTAATTTGGTCCCTATTTTAGTCATGAGCTTTTGGAGTAGTTCTTCATTGGTCATCCTCCCTTTTGGTGCACTAGAATTTGAGCTTTGGTTAGGATTGTAGTATTGTTGCTCTGCCCCTTGAGAACGGTATTGGTTAACCCTTTGTGCCTGATTTTGGTTTTGGTTCCCACCCATGAGAAGTTAGGATGGTTCTTCCAACTAGGGTTGTAAGTATTACCATAATTTTGTTGCACCCCACCCTTTTGCTCATTACCCACATAGTTTACGGAATCCGGGTTTGCCTCACATTGCTCGGTTTCATGAGTTCCCACATACCTCACACCAATTTGCTGCATGTTGTACTACGTTTATCGGAGCCTGATTTAGAGCTATTTGGCTAAATTGCAATGTAATGTTATGTTGCATTGCATCTAATTTGGCATTTATGGCAGTAGCTTGGTCTACATCTAAGATCCATGCAGCCTTTTGGGTTGGGGTTCTAGAAATTTCCCCATCATACCATTGGTTCCCTTCAGAAAGTTTATCGAGTAAAGCGAAGAACTCTTCACTCATTATGGAAAGGGCATGTCCACCTGCTGCACTATTAAGGAGAGAACAAGCATTATAGTCTAAACCCTCAAAGAAAGTGTGAGCAAATACCTCATTGGTTTGCATGTGGTGTGGGCAAGCAATCAACATTTTTTTGAAACGTGTCCATGCTTGGTACATGTCCTCCCCTTGCTTTTGAACAAACTTTATTATCTCCAAATTACCAAAAAAATAAGTTAATTATCTCCCCCCTCAACTTCGCGGTTTTCTTGGATTGAAAAAATCTACTCAGGAACTTCTTTGCTAGATCATCCCAAGTGGTGATGAAGTTTGGTGGCTCAGAGTCTAACCAACGTCTTGCAGCTCCTAATAATGAGTATGGGAACAAAGTCAACCTTACATAGTCTGATGAGACTCCAATTGGGATGTATGTATTGGTGATGTCTATGAAGGTCCTAAGATGGACTTGAGGATCCTTATGGGGGAGACCAGTGAATTGCCCATTAGTATAGAGTATATGTACCATGCTCTGCTTTAGTTCAAATCTACCCCCCGGTGGAGGTTTCCTAATACTGGATGCCAAGTTGGCTGTGAGTGGAACTGCCACATCACGGACTGGTCTTGCGGGAACAACAGGTGGTCCTTCTTGGTTATTCCTTGGGTTATTCACGTTTTCCGGGTTATTCACGTTGTCTTGATTATCATCATCAAAGTTTCCCGAAATACCTAACCCCAATTCTTCTTGTCGTCCCTGGTTCATTTTTCTGCGCTGGCGTAAAACTCTTTCCGGTTCGTTGTAAGGTTCGACAAGATCTCATTTCCGAGCCAGACCTGAAAATCAAGTGCATGCACTACACAAGCTAAGATCAAGTAATTAATATCTGAATATATTAAGTGTAGACTTAAGAAGATTGAATATAGATCAATTTCTAAGTCCTCGGCAGTGGCGCCAAAAACTTGTAGCTCCCCAGTATACACGCAAGTGTACGTGGTCACGCAAGTAATATAGATTCTTTAATAAACGAGTTATCGTTCTCAAGGGACTTATAATCAACTTATATTTAACACTTCATTCTACAAATAACAGTAAAAGCATTTATTGTTGACTACTACTAATTATGAACTCAATGAAAGTAACTAATTGTGAACGACTTTAATATTATGTTTCAAGCAAGTTAAAAGCAATTTCAGGACTGCAGCATATACTGAATATCATGTATCTTATTATCGGCCTAGAACTAATTTCAGTTGTTAAGTTATTGGTTTATAGGGTTAATTATATGAGTCGGGATATACACCTCTCGTCGCCTACCCCAATTAGCTACCTAACTACATCGTTGAGCAGGGATAAATAGACTAATTGGCGAGAATTTATATTTCATCCTATTTCGTAACCAAGCGAGTTGTTCGTTCGGGCGTCACTCCTGAACACAAATCACCTCGACTTAACGGGTCGATCAAGCTCTCTATATCCTCTGGTCTATTTAACCTCTCCTCTCTCGATTTTAAGGTTAAATAATAGATTTATCTCTAGATGGCCAGTCAAGAAATACTAAAACAAGAATATAGAAGTAACTTATAATGACAACCAAGAATTAATTCATAAAACCTTAAATAATCAACAATCCATTCGTAGCTACAGCCCCAGAACTAGGGCGTGTAGCTACTCATGCTATTAGAAAAAAAGAAAATACAATAGTTCATGCAAATTCCAGAAAATTAGAAGAGTTAAAGGATTAAAACCTATACAAACTTGAATTCTTGCTCTTGCACACTAAATCAAAAGTCGAACACTTACTAATGAACCCTATGGGTCTATTTATAGTAATTATAAAAACTAAGACCCAATCCTCAACCAACAAGGAGTCCTATTTAGTTGTATTTTCGCTGGAAAAGTCGGCATCATGGTGGGGTGTCGCGACTCGCATCAGCCTCTGAAGTTTCCTCCTTGGCGCGCCACGCCTCTCAGCGCGCCTGAGAGGCGTCTCTGAATATTTGGCCCAGGCGCGTCACGCCTCTCAGAGCGCCTGACCTTGGGGTCTTCATCCTTGGCCGTTTTTCATGCTCTTTTACGTCTCTTTTCTTCAAGTTGACTCCAATTCCCTTAAGAGTTCCTGAAACAACTAATCATGTGTGTAAGTGTACAATCATTCCAATTTACACCAAAAATTAAGCTAATGACTAGAGATCATCTTTCAATCTAATTGACTCATGGGCAATTATTGATAACTTAGGCATATAAATATGCCTAAGATCAGTCACTCCGGGCACTGATGCCTAGACTGATAGAGCGACCAATTATCCAAGATCCCCTATTTACCTCCCTCTCTGTCTTTCCTTATTTTACCTTTTGAATTCTGCGTTAATTGCATTTGAGGACAAATTGCTTTTATTTGTGGTGGGGTGAGGCCCATCTTTGTGTGCTATTTGATGTTCATATGTTGTTTATATTTGCGTTATTCTTTTTAAAATTGTGTTAATACTGCTTTCCTATGGATGTTTGAGCCTGTGGCCCCTTTTATTTTATATTGCAAAATGATTTTCACTCATCCGAAAATTTTTGCCACCTCTTGTGTGATGAATGTGGCTGTTCTTTTGCAAAATTTAAGTCTTGGTCCCGATCAATACTGATGACTTGAATAGTGCTCTAAATCGAACGAACATGAATGCGCGGATACGATGAGGCCAAATGAAGTTGCATAGACAATATGTGAACTATTTGCATCTCATTTTGACTAGCCTAATATCGAATCGAGTCTTTTGTAATGACTGTTGCGCACTAGCGAAAGTGTGGAGTCTTGTTTGACTATAGTGTTGATGTCTATTGTGATGAGCTTACTTTGAAACATGCATGATAGATCCTAGAATTTGCCCTGTTGGTCCTATTGACTTAGTAAAGCTTTCTCTTGACATGATCTTAGGCAACTTTGAAGAGTGTGAGCCAATTTGACATATACCGCTTTTGTGGCCTACCTTGTGAGTGTGTGAACCTCTCTTGAACACCCCTTGAACCGTAACCTTCTTTGAAAGAAACTTGATGAAAATTAGACCTTTTTTAATCCATTACCGCTAATCCTCTTGATTTGTGGTTTAATAAATAGCCAACTTAGACCAAAAGCCTAAGTTGCAGGTGTGGTGAGAAGAAAAGGGTAAATCAAGAAGTGCAAGGGAAGTCACCGTTAACTCATGATGTTGAGAAAAATGGAACCCCTCCATATTAAAAAAAAAAAAAAAAAGAGAAAAAGAAAAGAAAAGAATGAAAAAGAAAGTTGCAGAATAAAGTGCAAAAGAAAAGGGGGTTTCCAACACACTATGGAAAAGTGAATAATAGGATGACTTGTGAGCACTAAAGAAAATGATGAAGGAAAAGGGAAGGAAGTGTTGTGAGCACCACAATTCATGAGGATGAAAGCCACTAAGTCTAGATGATCATACCTCTGCACTCAGTCCCATTACAAGCCTTGAAAAGACATTATTTATCTTGAGAAAGCTAAAACAAATGTCAATTGGAAAATACGGGCAACCCTATGGGTGAAAGCATGTATTGTTTTCATCTTTGTGAGGGTGAGCGTTGCATCTAATTCCTGAACTTTAGATAATTAAGTCATTATGAACGATTATGGGATCATTCTTTCTATGAGGGCATTCAAACACTTTAGTTGAGCTTGAACTTGCATTTGAGGCAAGTATTGTGAGCATGAGATTCTTTGATATTGGTGAGTCACTACTTGAATCTTTGAGTGCACAATTGATCTTTGCATAAGTAAATTGAGTCTTGTTGTGTGCATTCATGATCGAGTTTCCAAAATTCAACTTAGTTGAGTTTCAGAATTTTATGGTACTTGGATAAAAAATCATCATCTAAAATTAAACCTAAGCATGGCAAGGGAACTACACTTGCACTATTACAACATCAATCATCATCCCCACTGCAGTGCTGCAAGTGAGACGGACCGGAGGATGTAAGCTAACCTTACCCCACAAAGTAGAGAGGTTGGTTTCTGGGCTCTTTGTGGCACCCTGCTACAATTGATGAAGCAAATACTGAACATATGCAACAATTATGACATTGGGGGGATTTTCAGTCACTTCCCAACATAACTGACTATTCAGATCAAAAACAAACTTCTCTACATCCATCGAGAAACAAAAAAATTGACGAAACAAAATCCGACACTAGGACTGCATCTATTATTTGTCAACAAATGAGGACTCTGCAAGATCAATGGCACGGACAAGAGCTGCAGCTTTATTTTCGCATTCATTTTGCTCATCCGCGGGGTCACTATCAGCCACTATACCTGCTCCAGCTTGGAGATAAGCAATCCAATCTCGTCGCTTATCGACATCCTTGTACGAGTACATAGTGTCGTAACGCGTTCCAGTTGGAAATACAATGGTTCTCAAAGCTAAGGCAATGTCCATTTCTCCTGTAAAGGAAATGCCTCCAAATCCACCGCTGTATGGTCCACGCCTTGTGACTTCCAGCTGATCAATTAGCTCCATGGCTTTCACCTATACCAAGCAAGAGGCATGAATTATTTACACCCCTTTCGTGAACACACAAAAAATTAAAACTGTATCAACTATAAATTCCTTCATGAAACACCTCAGAGCATATCAATAGTTCTTACAAGTTCCAGATGGATTGACCTTAAACACATAACCGTACCAATATTAGCTTCAGCCCTTAGCCCCTCTTTACTTCCAGAAAATAATAAATGGTTCACTTGTTAACACTTGATGCAAAAGAGACGATATGCATAAACTTTCCGTTCAGGATAGGAGAATTCATTATCAATATCTCCACCAACTGATCAAATTCAGTGAAGTGGAAAAACCATACTTCCAAAGACTAAGGGCATCAGTTTGGCTACTTCCCATAACTTAGACACTGAGGCAGCAGAAAGCACCCAGAACTCAAACAACCGACACTGCCTTTTCAAATAATTAATATTGCAAAAGTACAAGATGATTGTCGAACCTTGGGCGCTCCACTAACGGTTCCAACAGGCAGGGCTGCACGCAGAGCATCCCAGCTACTCAAATGGTCCAGTAGCTCTCCAGTAACCTGCAAATTTTGGACAGAACAAAACCTTGTAACAAGCCAGACAAATCATTATATTTCACAACATCCAAGTCTTAGTGATGATTCTCTAACCCCTGAAATATGTAAGAAAGGAAGTAACGTAATGCATAAGAACGAGTGTTATTTGTAACTGGCATTTCTTTCAGGAAGCAAACTTTGTTGCACTCAGGAAACATACCTTATGCAAGTAACATGTAAGACCCCAATCAACGTAGAAGAATAGCTATAATTAAATACAACTCGTATGACAAGAACTCACCGTGGAGCTGATGTGCATGACATGGGAATACCGTTCAATGTTCATTAGTTTCTCAACTTTCACCGAACCAGGCTTAGAGACCTGAATTAAGAATCGAAGTTAGTCAAAGATGATTGTAGTGAAAGACGGCTTCAATGAAATGCTTACAAGGATTCTAATGTGAGAAGTTATCTAACAAATAAAATTCAGTAGGTACCTAGGAATTCAAATAAATAGAAGCTCATTGAGCAATAATGCCAATGCATAAAAGGAGGATGAATTGCATAAACACGGTACAATATATTAAGCACATGCCTATTTATGCTTTCACCCTATCTTTTGTTTTGATTTCTGAAATCTTTGTATTTGTCTTGAATTTCTCTATCAATTTTGGTCAAACTACCTAAAATCGATTGACCTGAACCGGTACAGATGCCACACCCACGTTGTGTCGACACTGGTGCGGCACCATATGTGAAGAATCTACACAACTTAGTCCAAAACAAGAACAAGATCATTACATGACAGAATGAGATGCTACCTAAATATTGACAACCTTAACATATACAATTACAGATGAATGTAGTCCAGAGGAAGTAGGATCATATCAAAAGTAGCAATAAGCAATGTGAAGATGAGAATTACAATCAACAACATGAGCAATTATTTTCAGTTGTCCAGTTACAAGTCCAGACTCCAGCGTAGATTTATCGAATCTTGGCATATAGAAGATATATACTGCGCCTCTAATAATGCAAAAATTCCATCAACCTATAGAGAGAAATAAAAAAAAAGGGAAATTAGGAGTGTTAACCTTTCCAACATCATTTCTTCCCAAGTCAACCAGCATTATATGCTCTGCACGCTGTTTCTCGTCGTGCAAAAGTTGATTTTCCAACATATAATCTTCCTCAAGTGTCTTACCTCTTCTAATAGTCCCTGCTAGAGGCCGATTGGTAACTGTTCTCTGGACCCAAAAAAAAAAAGAACGGTTTTAGATCATTAGCAAAGTTGTTAATGGTAGACAAGATGACAGATGGAATTTGGGGTGAAATCGACATGCAATCTGCCAATTAGAATAGAGAACATTAGTTGATTCACCTTCTTCACTCGAGTAAGAATTTCTGGACTAGAAGCAACTAGTATACACCCCCGAGCCTGATCATAACATATCCTTTGTGAGAAACCTAGGAAAATAGAATTTGAAGAGTCAAAGTTTCAAGGAAAACAGGTATACCTGTAGATAAGTCATATAAGGACTTGGATTTACGATTCTTAGTGCTCTGTATACTTCAAATGGATCTGCAAATGTTCGTCTTTCAAAACGTTGGCTAAGAACAATTTGGAAAATGTCCCCAGCAAGGATATGTTCCTTGGCCTTTAAAACAGCCTTCTGGTAGTCTTCGCTTGTCATATTTGACTTTTTCAATGAAGTACCAAAATGGCTAGTATGAAGTTTTATCGACCCTGAAGCCAGCGTAGGACTAAAGGAAGAAACCAGTACAACCAATGAATGAGAGGAAAGGAGCAGAAATAAGGTACTTATTATTGGAAGAGGAAGTGAAATTAACTTACGGTACAATATCATGTACTCTAGACAACAATGCTTCTAATCTGGTTGTACCATCATTGTAGGCCTCCTCTACTGAAGCAAATCGATCTAACCGCACCCAATGTATGACAAATGCTTTCTGGTATCAAGCAGAAATTTGAGTAACGGACCATAATACCTTGAAAAATAATTACCTTGCTACTAGAAGTTGATCATGAAAGTAATCATGTAAAGAAATGCACATTATGCCTAAGCCAACACTAAAAGCTAACTCAATTCTAAAGCTAGCTCAAAGGGTGAGCTTGCCAAACAATAACCCATTTCCTCTACCAATGTGAGACACTTAACATCCCCTCCTCCTCGCGACCAGGATGCGACATCATCTGAAGCATGGACAACATAATACGGGTATCCCACATTGGGTAAACCAAGAATGTAAATGATCTAGCTCTCGTACCATGTTAAGAAATGGATCTAGGACATAACTCAACTTCAAAAGATAGCACATAGAACGAGCATTGTCTAAGACTGTATAAGAAGAAAAATTGCCACAATCACCACCGATGTGGGATACTAACAACTCAAATCCATATATTCAAACCCAAAAAATTCAATGAAAAATAAAGAGAACAATCCATAATGAACGGCAAATATGCACGACAAATTGAAGAAATCTATCCAAGTACAAAAAGTAAAATTGAAGTGCTAATATTGAAGCACTTCAATGAGAGCTAAAGCATATGTTCATGAACCAGATAGGACATAGGAAAAAAATAGGTTTATATAAATCTGGTAAACAAAATAAATTGAGGGTTTGTTGGGGACAGAAAATTAAACTACCTTTTCCACATGATCAAACACAATTACATCATCATAAAGGCCTAGATGAAGATCGGGAAGGTTCCTATCATCCATTGGAGCATTTGAGAAAGGTAGCTTCTTTTTCTCTACGTAACGCACAGTGTCATATGAGAAAAAACCAACCCAACCTCCTGCAAAGGAAAAACTACAGCATTAGGTAGAGTTAAGTTACTCTCTTCTCAGATGAAATTTGTGTATAGAGATATCAATTGTCATATACATTCTGAAAACTTTGGGCCTAGTCTTATTCAACACATAATCTCTCTTCATCCTTCCCTCTTTCCAACTTTTGTTGATGTGGATTCTTACTTCATCCTAGATTTTTCAGATCAAATTCTTACTTTATTCAAATATATGAAACTAGCATAATTTTCAATTATTACACTCCTTAAATTGATAGCGTAAATCAACATGACAGTTCTCTTCCTCTTCCATTCTCCCAATATAAATTAGAGTTACTAATAGAGTTTTCTTTATATGTATACCATCTTTAAATAGGATTCCATTTCACATCACTTCTTTCTGCTTCATGTTGTGGGAAATCAAAACCATCTAAATGTCTCTTGCATTACACTCTGTCACAATAACTATTAAACAAATTATTTTTATTTTTTTTAGATTTTATCCTTCCCTTTTCTTCAATGGAAAAGGTAATGATTTTATCATCCTAAAGTATGTATAAGAGTTTTACATCAATAGAATGGATGCACTGTACTACTGTTTGATTTAATGATATAATACTTTTCTATGATAACGTCTTAACAAGTAAACTATAATTAAACTATTATCACACAGAAAAAAATCATTCAGCTTACAATTGTTCTTTTCTACTTTGAAAACATTTTTTTTAAAAAAATAGCATCTCTAATTGAAGAAGACTCACTTTACGAATCCAAAAAAAAGTTGGAGAAAACGAAAATGGATAGAGAGCATGAAAAAAGAAGAAGACAAAGCATCAAAACAGGACCAAAAATGAAAAGAGAAAAGGCAAACAAGAAACAGAAAAGAAAGAACAGACATTAAAAAAAAAAGAGCAACAAAAAAAAGCAATTTAATGAATGAAAAGCATGGGATTCGAACCCCTTGACTCGGGTTAACAATGATGCATGCAGCCACCAATACACCAAGATGCTCTATTGAACTTGGGTTGCCACATACAATTTAAGTAAGTTATCCAAATATTTTTCAGTGCTTTTACTGTTTTACATAGTCTCGGGTGGGGTGCATGGGTTCTCGTGAACCTGTATTTCTTCATGTTCATCCACCCCTATAGAAGGAAATAGAGGTCTTCCTTCTATAAGTTGAAGGAGTACAAAAGGTCTAACAGTTAGTTAATGTCAACTATAATACTCCTACTCCACAAGTAAAGACTTTTCAAAACATTGGATATTAAAAGTGAAATAATTTTCCTCCATCATTAAAGCTTTCACTATTCCTTTCTAGCCAAATATTCAAAAGAACACAAGTACTAATCACATTCCAGTAACGTCTGCTGCCAGTGGATAGAGATTGTCCATTCGGACCATTCCAGCTACTTAAAGCAAGTTCAATGCTCTGGCACGAGACACTAAACTACAAAGATAACGAGGAGCATTTACTAGTTTTGTCCGCAGTGAAGCAGTAGATGATTCATTGACTCAAGCTAGATTAGTATTAATGCCAAAAAACTAAAGCAGTTGAAGTATAATTTATTACCACAAAATGCTTCAGGAAGCTCATTTATGCATTGAGGTTTCCATTTTTCCATAATCCTACGAGGAATGCTCATGGGATCTTCCTCAAATTCCTCCGTTCTGCTTCCTTCAAGGTGATCCATAATTGTCACCATGTTCTCTTTTGCAACAATTTCCATTGTCGGCTGGGCCCCAATCACACTGTATCGACCCTAGCATAATTAACTCATCAACAAACACAGCAAGGTGTAATCAAGCAAGTAACATTTTTGATTGTTCAAAATTGTGCTGATGCAGTAGTGCAGGTAATGAGAATACAAACATCAATAATTCCCTATGTGCTCTTTGTGAATCTCACTACTCCCTCCTTCCTGAAGAGGACTTCAGTATCACTATTTTGGGACAAAAGAAGTTTTTCTTTGTAGATTTGGCAACTGAAACAATTTGAACTATTTTCAACTATAAAAAGTTGTGAGTTATAGTACTTATACGTGATTTCTGAATATATGAATTTCATTTCAAACCCATCATTTGTTTAAAGTTAGAGCAATATAATTTCCTTTGACTATTCCAGTTTCAATCAAGGAACTAAATGGAGGTAGAACAAGGAGCTTACAACATTAGAAGCTTTCAAACCAGGCTCTACAGACTCGAACAAGAAGCTCGGAGCTTCCCTATCATCTTCCTTCACTAGACAGCGGTAAGCAAGGACCGGAGTTAAGTGATCGGAGAATATAGACCTGTAGAGGGGGATCAAATTCCCATCCTTGGCAGCCTCCTTGAACTTCACTGAATCGTCCACTACACAAACTAAACCATCTCAGAACCAGAAAGCAGCCAAAAGTCACCATCATGAAATTAATGTCCAGCAAATTAAGTAAGTGAATAGATACGCACTATTGATGGTACTTAGTAGTGCAAAGACACAAATGCCCTCGACTCTGTCTATATATATTACTTCATGTTTTTTATTCAACTTCTAAACCGGGGTAGTCAATTATTGAGGTAAGCTCCTTTCTTGGTCGATTCCAAAAGCAAATGCACTCATTTAGAGGAGAGGGGTGGCAACTTGATATTCTACGCATTCAATGATTAGTTCAAGTTAATTGCCACATAGGATCAAGAAATGCATCAGTAATCTGTGCCCAAGGGCGGATCTACATGGAGTTCAAGGGTTCTGATAACAATTGCACCGTGTGTATATAGGATCAAATCTGTAGTTTATGTGTATCTATTTAATATTGAACCCCTTCAACAAAGTAAGGGGCTTGGTTCAGCGGCTATGGGGGTTCAGAGCTTAGTAGGTGCGTGGGTTCGAATCTGGCTAGTAACATTTTTCAATGTTTTAGCTTCAGCATTTATGGTTTTCTCTAAATAAATGAAACGGCTTCTTCTTTGTTATAATTGTCTCGGTGCTAATCATGTTTTATTTTTATTTATTCATTAAGCCTAATTATTAATTGCTTAATTAAATTAGTGATTGAAATCTGGTACAATGAAGAGCTAAGCTATATATCTTGGTTCCTTGCTTGTTTAATTCTCCTAAGGTCTAACTAATTTTTTACTTTACGATTCAGTAGCAATCAAGTGTAGCCTCTCATATGTGATTTAACATGCTTATTTGTCAGCACTATTTAGCATTTTTTTTAAACCCCTCAACGGAAATCCTGGATCCACCACTGTCAGCACCTACCCACTAAAAATCCTGGATCCGCCACTGTCAGCACCTACCCACTAAAAATCCTGAATCCACCTCTAAATTAAATGGAAGGAAGCCAAACTTTCTAACAGTTGAAAGTAAGGTTTTCGAAAAATAGATATTAATTCTAAAGTTTCAGAGAAGCAGAAAAGGCAATGACTTAAACTTTTGGATTCATTTCAAAATCAAATATATACAGGTAAGAATTATTTATTTTTTTGAACAAAAAACATTAATGTCGCATATATAGCAGTGTAAGCAATTCAGCAGAATCTGAACAAGCCGAATTAAAATCCTAGAACCATTTTGAATTAAATAGGCATAGAGGATACCGAATGAAGGTGGCGAAACTAATTCAATAACTGAGATTTCAACAAATTAAATATCTAGGTAAGTAACAACTGCAGCAAAATTCATAAAATTCTGGATCCATCATTGAATTAAACAAGCAGAAAGATTACCTAATGAAGGAGGAGAAACAGCAGCGGAGCATTTGAGAATCCGAAGTCGAGCAGCCGCAACAGGGGAGCTAGAGAAAGAGAGCGAAGTGGCCCGGTGACCGGAGAAAATGGAGGAGCGGTGATCGGAGCCGGAGATAACCGGTCGGTGGTGAGATACGGCTAGGGTTTTCATGAGTGTCTACAGCATTTGAGCTTTGAAAAAATGGAATGACAGTTATATGTTGCAGAGGTGAGTTGGGAAATTTGCAGTATGAGTGTATCAGTTTGTAGGTTTTAGGTATTTGGTGAATTAAATGTGAAATTTTTTGGCAAATATAGACAGACCCCACTTACTAAATATTAGTCAAATGTAATATAATTACTCCTTCCGGTCCACTTTTATTTGTCATGTTGTATTTTTTCAAAAGTAAATTTAACTAATTTTCAAAGGCAAATTAAATTACGTTAATTCGATAGATATTCAAAAACTTTCTGTTTTGCTTATACGATACGAACATGTACTAGTGAATCACAACCATTGGTTTTGTTAGATACATTATCAAAAGCTATACACAAATTGCAATTTTTTGCATATCAATATAATAAAAAAATATGTAATAAAATGTTAGTCAAAGTTCTTATAGTTTGATTCTAAAAAAAGAAATTGTGACAATCAAAAGTGGTCGGGAGGAATTTTTATTTTAAATCATATTTTTGTTCATTTGATTTTCACATTAATTATTTATATTTAATTATTTTTTTTCTAAAAAATGGACTGACATTATTTGAAATCTCCTAAAAATATAGAAATAGAGTGATAATAAGAAGTGTAATAAACAATTATATTTAGTCAATTGATAAATTATTAAAAATACACACAAAAAAAAATTGAACAATATTAACGAGTAAGATTACATATAACATGAAATGTAGTTAATTTTTTAATTGAGTGTGTTCTTTTAAAGAAAATATATATTTTGCTTAAAGCAATTATATTATAAGAAATTTAATGTCTTTTCAAGACATTTTATAAATGTCTCATAATTATTAGTATTTATTTTAAAACATATAAGTTCAAAATTGTATTCTTGTTTATTTTCTTGAGGAAAAAAAACACGTACATAGTAGTATGAACAGAACTGTATGTAATTTTGATCATCGATTACATTTAAAGAAAATTTAATTGAAAATTTTAGAATCCATACTTACTTTAATTTACTATATTGTGTATTATTAAGTATAAACATAATTTTAATTAGAGAAATATTTATTTATTATTATTTGCATGGAGTTTAATTGTCTGCTAGAATTATATGAAAATTAAATATTTTTTATCACATAATGTATATCTTAATTATGTATTATTTTATTTTACATATCTTAAAATTATGTAATCTAGTTTATCACTTTAATTAAGTAATTTTATTAATTATATGGTTAAATAAATTTAAATTACATACTTCGATATTTTTAAATATAATTTAAAATATTTTTCAATGATAGTCAAATTCACAGTACTTTAAATACGGTATAGAACTTATAAAAATTATATCGTTCATAATTGTTGACCATAATTAATACCAACCTAAAGATTACACGTTGTAACTATTAAAGTAATTATTGTCATAATTTTCTTGTACTCAAAATATATTAATTATGCCAAAATTGAAACATAAAAAAAATATTGGCTATATTATTTAACTATTTTTATATTTTTTTCTACAAATTATAGCAAAAATATTTTTTTAGTGATAATATTTTGTTTGAAATAATTTATTATGACTAAAGATCACTATTGCTGAAATATTTTTTGTCGCGAGGCAAACTTATGATCAGCTAAAAATTTATTATAGCAAAAAATCTATTTAGATCACTAATTGTTGCCATAAATTTTAAAACTTGAAGTAAAAATATTTATTTAGTTGCAATATTTTGTCCGTCACTTGCCTCCTCTTATATTTTTGTTACAAAACAATTATTATGAAATTGAGCTAATATTTTTTATGATTAATCAATTCTAATTTTATTATCATAATTTTTTTTTAAATAGAGGTAGGTGGAGATCGAAATATCTAAGATAGGGAAATGGAAGAATATTTTGGATAAGTTTTATTAATGATATCGAACTTTGAGTTTATCAAACAAGAAAATTACTTTCTTTCTTTTTTTGTTATACAATTGTCATTTAACATTAAAATTTACTACAAAAACAACTTTTTATTACATGGAAATATGCTATCTTTAAAGTTTATAATGAAAAAAAAAAACATTTTTAGGAGGATTCTGTGAAATTTTTGCTATATAAATGAGTATATTAATAAGGAAAAAATAGTCGCACCGTATTTTCTTTAAATATTTGATTATAATGCTTTAACATTATGTATAGAAATCAAATTTTACGGAAAAGCAAATGTAATATTGTATACACCAACAAGTTTTGTGTTACGAAGAGAAATACCAAAAAATATTTTTAAAACTATCGTGAATATATGCTCTCCATTTTATTTTACTTGGCTCATATACTAAAAATATATGTTTCAATCTACTCGTCATTTTCATAAATCAAGAGAATTTTATTATATATTCATCATACTGTCCTTAGTGTTAAAGATCTATAAAAAGTAGTAGAAATCAAATCTAGTATTTTAAAGCATCACTAATAAAATTAATTTAGTAAAATAAGTATTTAGTTTAAAAAAAATTAAAGGGTGCTTCAAGTCAATAAGGCCAAGTAAAAAAAGAACAGATGGAGTAATTAACTTATTTTGGAGCTTATATAATATTTTTTGGTATAAAATATTAAAATTCACGTGAAAATTATTTTTTAGTTAACTTAGTCAAAATTGAAAGGAAAAAAAAGTCAAAGTTAAATGACTTTTTAAGTGACCAATATAACTTTTTGTGTGATAACTTTTAAAGTCTAATGACTTTTGGTTAAGAAAAAAATTCTTAAAAAAATTGTGTGGTAATTTTGAAATAGAATTACTTTTATATAATAATAATAATAATAAAAGATTTGATAAAGGGAAAATTGTATATAATAGCAAATTATTAATTCAAACTAAATGATATAACCATAGTTTGATTTAATTGTACCCCATAGCAAACTGTTGCTATTTCGTCTTTCTCCTGGTGATCTCGCTCGCCACTCTCATTCTCTCCCTCGCCTCTCTCGCTTTTATACAAACGCAAATGTATAAAATGCGTTTGTGTTTGTATAAAGCGAGAGAAAATTGTATATATACATATATTTTCGTTCCCCTCTCCCAGATCTCACTCGCCACTCTCCCAAATCTCGCTCGCTCACTCGCCTCTCTCACTTTATACAAAACGCAAATGTATAAAATGCGTTTGTGTTTGTATAAAGCGAGAGAAAATTGTGTATATACATATATTTTCGTTCCCCCCTCTCCCAGATCTCACTCGCCACTCTCCCAGATCTCGCTCGCTCACTTGTCTCTCTCACTTTATACAAACACAAATGTATACATTGCGTCTGTGTTTGTATATACAAATACAAATGCATATATTTTCGTCCTATACACTTATGATTATACAAATATGATCTTCCCCTGCCCTGTTTTGTTTTGTTTTTCTCTCTTTCTCACTTTATACAAATACAGATTATACAATTGATCTTTTGTATATGTATACCAAAGCAGATTATACAACTACTTTCTTTTGTATATGTATAACAAAATATACATATTTTATGTTTGCTATGGAGCGCAATTATGCAAACTATAGTTATAGCATACAAATATGATTTTTATGTTTGCTATATGTGAAAGTTGCTCTATGATAAATTCAAAACTAGATTAACACTCTTAGACTTTATCTTAAAATATCTTAATATGGTAGGTATTTGATGGAATATGGAAAGAAAAACAAAGAAAAAAAAAGAGTGGATTATGAGATTTAAAAGAAGGTGAAGTGAGATGATGTGGTGGTTCTTACATTTAACTAGTCAATCCAATATTTATTTGACTATAATTTTTTTTATATATTTTTAAAAATATTTTTAATCATTAATATTGTAATTTATATTTTTTTTGTATAATTTTTAAATATATATATTATTATTAAAATTTTCTTACTTAAATGATAATAATACACAGTAGGGTAGTGATTATATTAAGATTTAACTAACACTAAACTCTATAAATAGTCACTTAAAATTTTTGAGACTATTACTAACTATCGTAATTAAAACATTAACTATACATTGAAAATTAAAATATTTAAATTGAAATAAATCATTAAATTTTAATTCAAATTAAGTAATAAAGATATTAAATTAATCATTTTTAAATTCCTTGTGAGTTGGGGAAATAACAATTATGGTCATTTTCTGGCCACAAAATTAGGGTCATTTAGTAGCTCTCATAATTATAAAGGAATACAGTATATGTTTAAATAAATGTCAATGTAAAATCATGGTATGATAACTTATTTATTGAGATTATGATAATTTAATATCATTTGAATCCATAAAGATAAGCAATCATAGTTTAATTAAACACAAACACTCAATAAATCATACTCTCTTTAATTTTAAAATAAATGTGTTTTTAAAATCTCTCTTTCAAATTATTTTTATGAATAAGTATATATGTACCATTTATGGTAAATATACCTTTTAATTTTGTGATTTAAAAACATGATGTATCCCTCATTAAAAATGCGTATCTATACATTTGACTCTTAACAAATAATATAATATTTATCCGTTATCTATGCTAGTCAATTATCGGTACAGTTAATGAATGCAAGCTTCCATGGATATGATATGTTCTCCTATTACTTTCAATGAGTCATGTAGACACCGTATAATAGATGTTTAGATCATGACATCAAGTTTGTAATATAGTAAAAAAGAAATAAATCGGTATCATATATTGTTTTGGTATTATTAAGGCTGATAATTTCGCTTAATTGATACTAAATCAATATATATATATATATATATATATATATATATATATATATATATATATATATATATATATTGTATTGGTATCATAAATGTTTCTTGTTTAGAAATTACTCATTAGTCAATAATATTATAAGAGTGGATGACTTAACCGATCGGGTTAGGATCAAACTTCATGTACTCACTAGTGGTTTATCTTTGTTATGTACGCCTTATACCCGATAAGGTATTATATCATGACTTAGCTGGTAGTATTGAGATATCAGACTCTATGTGCTTATTATTACA